TTTATATCTACGTGGAGTTCATCTAACCCAATTAAAGGTCAACGACCAATTCAACATTCATATTCGTTGTTCTTATGTACCATCTTAGTGTTCTCTATCATATGTATACAAGTATTTAATATTTAGGCGTGTTTGATATACGTAAATGAAAATTATTAATAAATAATTTAATATTTTTTAGCACTTTAGTCTACTACATTGTGGTTGAAAACGCGGTAACTCATCCAACTTATTATTTTTCTGAAGTTGAAAATTGAAGTTTTGTTTTTTGTTTCAGTTTGAGTGGTCTATTCGCTTTCGTCACTGAAACTTATGTTAATTAAAATTCAACACTGAGGATAGAAAATTGGAAATGTCATTTTGTATAGTTAGAATGATGTATTTGATTGCAAGATGTACAAAACCGGGATTTATGAATGCCTAGTTTTGAAAACACGAGGTTATTTACTAGTTCAATCTGCAACACGATTTTAAGGTAGGGCCATTTTATTTTCTTCCTACCATGACTCTGAATAAAAATTTTCTGAGAGAAACTACTAGGATCCTAGATTAATGAAAGCTCCTTTGAATTGGGATTTGGGAATTAGTTGCCAAGTCCACAGCTTATGTTTGATAATATTGTGACAGGTTTCAGTTTGTTTATGACTGATCAGGTTGAAAATCATGGATTGTTCCCCTTTCTCGAGCTCGTTTCTCGGAAATCTCTCAATTTTTCCATTACGAATACTCTGGACTTGTTAAGATTTAGGGTTTCATCTTAAAATGTCAACCTTATTAAGAGCTCGTTTTGCATAGCTTTTGAAAAGCCAAAAGGAGCTTTTGAGGTTCAAAAGTTGCTTTTAGACCCGTTTGACTGATTTTGTTAAAGTGCTTTTGATGGTTAGAAGAGCTTTTAGACGAAGTTGGTTCAATGTGGCTTTCTTTAAAAGCACTTCCAGAATAGAAAATGCTTTTAAATATTAGTTTTAAAAAAAAAAAATTAAAATAACTTTCTCCAAAAACTCTTCTACAAGAAGCAAAAGCGATGCCAAGCAGGTCCTAAGAGGAGTAGCCCAAAGCTTTATAAGTTAGATGATGGCTCTGATACAGTGTTAAGATTTGGGGTTTTATCTTAATAGGTCAATCTTGTTAAGAAGAGTAGTCCAAAACTTCTCTTTTTCTTCTTAAATTGCATTTCTTTATGTTATAAGTTTCAACAAGATTTTGAAGACCTGGCAATAAAAAAATCATTGTTACAGCGCAAAATGGCATGTCATCATTTTGAGATTAGTAATTAGTTTCTTTCCAAACAGTGTCTTGGACCTGTGGGTCATTTAAATTGGTATTGATATGATTATATAAAAGTTTTTAGATTTTTTATCCGATAAATTATTCAAATTGGTATTTGCAAGAATTAATGATCTGTCGATCTAGTTGTATTCTATTGTGAATCAATGAATACTAAATTTTTTAAATCGTGGATATTCTAAGAAACGTCCAAGAATCAAGTTGTAGTTAGGATCTTACTGTAATCACATTAATTTCTAACATCAAGTTCAAAATAAACGACTTGTACAACTTTTATAAGAAATTTTTTTAATTAAATAGATTTCGAACATACATTCCACCAATAAAATAATTTTGCACGTGGATCCTTAATTTTTTTCTCACTTTTTAACCACGCATTCTAAAAAAGAAAATCATTTTTCATTTCAAATAATCTTTTCCAAACAAATAGTAAAGGTTGTTTTGAATGAAGTGATTTGTTCCAATACTGTATTCGATTCATTAGGATGTGATAGATCCTTAACCATCCATTACTAATCACTTTAAACTTAAGGGAAACATGTAAATAATTTGTTTATTTTGTATTAATTTAATAACATTAGAGTCAATGGGCTGAAGGCAACCATTTTAGACTGGTGCAGGTACCAATTAGTGCCACACGTCATATAAACATACAAATAAGGCCAAAGAAAAGATGCTATTTTTTGGTTAATAATTAAAACTATAAACACCAAATTTTCAAACATTATGTATTAATATTCAAGTGTTGGCAGTTTCAAGAAATTAACAGTTTTCTATTGTTTCTTACATTCTATGCCGAGAAAGATGGCTAGTATATTGCACGTCAATTGCTTCATGGGAAGGCCTCCATTTTCCCACAAATTTGATCATCATTTCAGAGATTCACTCCATTTTTCTTTGAGTTTTAAGGTGAACAACTCTTGTCTGTTTCCTTTGTCATGTGGACAGTCTCGATTAGTAAGTTGAACTGGATAGTACTAAAGGGGAAAAAAAGATATGATAATGTCCAGTCCAATTTAATATAGTGTATTGAACGTGCCCACAAGATATATATAATTTTTTTATCAGGCTATAACGAAGAATCTGTATATTTGTACCGTGTCAATATAACAGCCACTCTTCAGAAAGTTGCAGCAGAATTCAATTTGGGCTAATGTTCCCAATATCATTAAGGAGGCTTCAGTTAGATTATTAGATACATTTGTCGATTTGACATTTGAATTCGTTGACCAGCCATTGCTTCCATGCCAGGTAATGCGAAACAACCCTCACCCCGAAGTATGCTCACTTGTTTATATCATATTTGGTAGAGTGGATTTTACCGTATTAGACAATATTAGAGAATAGAAGAGATAAACTATTGTCCATGGTCCAGTTCTGTCATTAAAGTTTGGTGTAGACAGGGTAATTTTGCTCCAGTAGAAGAGCGGGGAGAAGCTATTCATGTGACCAGCATAGAAGGAAGGATCCCAGATGATTTTCAAGAGGGTGTTTACATTAGAAATGGTATGCCAATTGCTTCGATCTTTACTAGAAAACCATATAATCTATGAACTGTTAAAATGTCCTTGCTTTGAATTGGATTGTGTACCTTTGTCCTTGGAGCTATTCCCTGTTTATTACTGTCTGTTAATTACAATGTATGGATAAGCACAAAGCCAGATAAATCCTTGAAAATTATAGTTTATGAGCCATTTGGATGGTTGATCTACCGGATCTGTAAAGTGTGTCATGTCCATTGTCTTTATACAGTGCATATTTAGAAAAGAGTAATGTTATATAGTCCTACTAGGGTTGCAACCTCAGTTTATGTGGTATTATATGATAGGTTAAATAAAATGTGAAACTAAATAAGTTACTTTAATTCTACCTATCAATTAATGTCACATTAGAGCCACCTAAACTAGGGTTGCAATCCCAGTGGACTAAATGACATTACTCTTTAGGAAAACTCCAAAAACGGAATTTTTTTTCTTTTTTTTTTTTCTATAACATGAAAGTATTGAATGATTCTCTGCACATACCTCCAAAATGAACATGGTTTTGTTATTTTAATCTCTGAGGTTCTAGACAAAATGATTCCAACTCAAAATCATATTATGTTATAACATTGTTCTTGTAATTTCGGTCTGTCTTTTTTCCCGGATGATTCTGTCTTATTATGCCTCTGAGACCAATCGAAAAATTACAAGAAAAAATGATACCATAATCAATTAATAACATTCCTATTCGAGTCATTTCTTTTTCTATTAATTTTTTATCTATTTTCTTTTCTTTATTTTTATTATTTTCTTTTATTTCTCTAATTTCAATTTTTAATATATTTATATCATTTCTTGTTTCTCTTACTTCATTTCTCAAATATTGTATATCATTTATTAACATTTTTATTAATGACTTTAATTCTTTCGTATATTCACTTATTGACATATTAAAATCATCTTTCTAACATATAAGTTAATTTGCATCTTTTATCATCTTTTTTTTATCTATTATTATTCCAAATCTTCTACTAGTATAGTTATCTGTATTTACTAATTCTTCTTTTATTATATTAAAATATTTACTCTCAAGTCTTAATCTTTCATATTTTAATTTTATTAATTGTCTTTTCTTTTATACTCTTATTCCTTCTAGTATTAACATTATATCTCGTATTTCTTCTTGTAATTTTTTCATTTTTATAAGTAATCTATTTAATTTCAAATCAGTATTATTACTTGCACTCATACCTCTCTTTATAATATAAACTGATTTCTTCATCTTCATATATTAATAATTTTTTTATATATATATATATATATATATATATATATATATATATATATATCCTTTATTATTTCTATTATTAATCTTTCTAATATTTGTTTTTTTATTTCTTTGGGTAGTTCTTTAACTATTATTTATATCATTATTTTTAATTTATTATGAATAGGTTTTAAAAATATATAACTTCCTCTTTCTTCTTTTAAATGCCAAAAATTATTTATTTTTCTAATTTTCATAATCTCTATGGCTCTGATACCAATTAGGAGGTGCTACTTGGAGCGAACAAAAATCAAATAAATAAATAAAAACAGTAAAAAAAAATTCTATGAAAATTCAAGTAATATTTAATTTTAGGGATTAAAATGGAAGATTCCTATATTATAATAATTTGTTATGCAATATTCAAAAAAATGGTATTTTAGATAGATAAATTGGTAAAAGATTATTTTGGAAAAATGGCCTTTTTGTATAGGTCATTTCCTCGTATTTCCCATCATCGAGAGAGTTGCACTTGCTTTGTGAGTTGGACTACATCACAGTTTTAGTTCGCTGCAGAATAAGGAAAGAAGAATTCTACCCAAATGGGTATTTGACTTCTGATTCATTTCTAGATTTTGCATTATATTCAATAAATATTTTCTTTCCTCTATGTGATCCAGTCGGTTTAAATTATAAGATATATAGAAATAAGCTGTGGAAAAATGGATAATACTTGTAAATCTCAAGTTAATGTCTTTCTGTTTTAATTTTGTAAACATTAAACCCATTATTGTAATGGCTTTCCAAAACTTTAATCTAAGAAATTTATTTAGGGTTCTTAACACATGTTCGTGTTCGAATCACTTTCCAAAATGTAATCTTAAGAACCTTAACATTTGAATAAAGAAAAATCTTGGCAGAGACTAATCCTAAAGGTCCCAATGCCCATACTTGTGTGCCTCAGTTTTTCCTCCCATTCTCTATTCTCTTCATCAGGGAACAAATTTTGAATTACTGTATCTGACTGCTACAGAAAAGTTACAAAAATATACTTTATTACTGTTTTTACAATAAAAACCAACTTTGTTTTAGTCCTAATTGCAAGAACATAAAACATGCATGCTAGTTCCATCAAACAGTGTAATGTAGCAAGGGATTGGTTTCTGATGGTACAGTGCTCTCACGATCACCAGATGTCCATGTGGAGTTGAGGTATAGTAGCGATACTGATCCAACTTCAGTGCTGATTACTTGCGTATTACTTTGGACAGTCGCTTGCCCCTTAGATAGCCTGATATTCTCCAATTCCATGCTGACTTCTTTCATTGTTGGCCTTTTCTTCCTATTCAAATTCAAGCATCTATATGCTAAAGTAGCAACATCAATAATGTCTTCATCTTTATCATGCTCTAAAATTATAGGGTCAAAAAATTTAAGAAGGCAGTTTTGTTCCATAGACATAAGAAAACATGCAGCTAAACTTCTTTCATCTTCTGTATCGCTTAAAACTATTGGTTTCTGTCCTGATAAGAGCTCAATAAGAACAACACCAAAGCTATAGACATCACTCTTATCAGTAAATTGGCTTGACCGGAAGTATCCTGGATCTAGATAGCCAAAGGTCCCCTTAACTAAGGTGGTAAAGTGAGTTTTATCTACTGCGATAGACCTTGAAATTCCAAAATCTGACACTTTGGGTCTATAGTTTTCATCTAAAAGGATATTGCTCGACTTGATGTCCCCGTGATAAATGGGTGTGGAAGTTGAATAATGTAGATAAGCAAGAGCTCCTGCTACCTCTACTGCAATTTTTAGGCGCATATCCCATGTCATAGGAAACTCAGCACTCGGGTCATGGATGTGATCGAAGAGGGTTCTATTAGCAATAAACTCATAAACCAACAAAGGAACTTCGGTCTCCAAACAACATCCAAGTAGCACAACAACATTTCTGTGGTTAATTTGAGAAAGGATTACGACCTCATTTATAAACTCATCCAGTCGATTTTCACCTACTAACTTGGACTTCTTTATTGCAACAGTTCTCCCATCAGATAACATGCCCTTATAAACTGTACCTTGACCTCCTTGTCCAAGTATTCTACTTTCATTGAACTGATCGGTTGCCTTCGATAACTCCTTAGCTGTGAAAAGTCTTGTTTTTTCTACATGGCCTTCTTTAGTAGATATTTGTTGCTGTAATAAAAGACCACCATTTTGTTTGAAATATTTTTGTTTACGATTGCATTTCCTCCTCTTCTTCACTACTTTGTATAGCCAATAGGTAACTGTTAGCAGTAATAACAATCCGATGCTCGTGCTTAAACCTGCACAGAGAGATGTCATATTAGACAAATTCATGCACAGGCAGCCGTTTGAGAACTCTAAGAGTTCTAAGATTTCATTATGTGTATGAGAAACTAACTGGATAAATTGTCAACAAAAAAAAATCACTGCTGTGAGTATCCCTTTCATTTTCTGTAATCACTATATTAAACTTCATTTTCCCTCATTTTCATGACTTCAAGTCAAATTAGGCTTTTGTTTAGTTCGTTTCTTAAGCCTTTAGGCATCGTTCAATGGTTTGCTCTTACTGTGTAGAACATTTGTTTGATTTCGTATGGACATAGGTAACCGTACTTGTTGGGTCCTTCGTCCAATGAATGGATCAGTTTTTTTTCTTTTTTTTTCTTTTTTTTTTTTGGATATTAAAAAAATAAAGGAAAAGTATCCTATATGAGTCCAAGTTTTCTTCGTCTTATGTATTAACTCCTGATTAGATAAATAATGGTTTGAACTTGACATAAAAACCCTGTTCATCAAATCTGTCTCAAATGCAAATTCCAAAAAAAGATGCAACAAAAAATCTTTTTTCAAAATATTTCTGTACTCATCTTAAGTTTAATGATTTAAAGGTGTTAGTAAAGTTGCAAGGATTTCCCTTCATCCCTTGTTCTCAACAATGTTTCAAATGAAAAGTTTTTACTTTTGATTGAATGTAATGAACATGATCCGAAGTAACATGAGTAAATTTACAGGGGTAACAGTATGTTTATAACCTGTGAGCACTGATGCTTTATTTGAACGCTGGCCAATGCAACCAGAACCAAATTTGCTGCCATCACCAAAATAACCACGCTGGCAAGAGCACTTATAACCACCTGGAGTATTAGTGCACATTCCATATGGATGACATGGATTGTTCTCGCATTCATTGATGTCTGAAAACGTAGTAGAGCGAAAAGAGTCATGGCCGAGCCTAAGGAAATTAAAATTGTTCTTATTGCTCTTCGATAATTCATTTTTTGTTTATCTATAGACAGCTTCTTTGGTAAGCTAGATTTAACACTAATTGACAATACGAACCAAAAAAAGAAGTAAAATTTTTTGTCCATCGTGGAGTAATGTCCAATAATATGTACTAAATATGCTCAGTGTGTTCAAACAGACATTAACTAACCTTGGCAACCTGGTCTGAGATATGGATTTCCCTTGTATCCCTTGGAGCAGTTGCAGTGATATCCTCCAAGACCAGTATCAGAATCAACACAGATGCTATTTTCCTGACAAGCAAATAGACTGGATTTCTGAGCTTCAGCACATGTTTGATTCCCAATCACCCAGTCCAATTCATCGGAACAGTTTCTACAATTCTGTGTTCAAAATTGGAATCAGAGACATCAGATGGGTGAAACGTATATCTGCCATGTTCTCCAAGAAAGGAATAGCCACAGCGGTTGAAGGACGAGACGTTCGTGTGATTTCCATAGCTCCTCAGGGAAGTAATGTAATTCTTTACGCCCTTGGGAATGGAGTTTTGGCAACAGCCAATTCCAGAACAAGATCCATCACTCAAGTCACTGCTCTGTGAACATATGGCAGCACATGAACTGATTAAGTTATCGGTTGCCACTTTTGTCATAAATGAAACATCATCACATCCCACAACTATGAACTTATTTTCGTTTGAAAAACTGAAAAGCGAGGTTTCATCTATACCATATAGGGTTGGAAATTTACGAGTTATACCACCAGTCTGATTGTAGCATCTGTAAGCTATCCCATTGCTTTTGAGACGGATTTTGGTTTCTGATATGTCGATAATCTCTCCATTAGTTCTGCTGAGGAAGGGTTTTGGAGGGTTAAAAGATTTAGAACAGTTGATGTCATACCATGGGCCTATGGAACATCCAGCATCTAAACCAATACCAAAAGGGTATGGAACGGAAACATTCCCACACTTGGTGGGGCAGCCGGGTAGCGCGATTGTGCTGTTGTTGATGGTCTGTTTTGATATGGAAAAGCTAAACGGAAGCCATAAGATTAGAAGAATGCAAGCTTTTTGCTGCATATTGCAGGCTGATACAATAATATTTTTTACAATTATTAAGAATGCTTGATCAACTGATAAAGAAGATAAGCCAAAAACTCTCTAGTTAAATAGTACATAAGTTTCATCCACCAGATAAGTCAGATTATGTCATGAACAAGGAGTTGCGCGTTGAAACTTAGAAAAATAATTTCCATTTGTTAAGGTCATCACAACGTTAAATTTTTTAACAGGGAATAATTGAGTTGAATAAGTCATATTTTTTAGGACGGCATGTATAATATGCATTCCAATACTATTGATTAATTAAGATAAATAAATGATCCTAAGTTCTTGAATTCAACATAGCTGCCTAAAATTATTTTACATCCGACAATATATAATTCTATCTTCTGGGAATTGAATTTCAATTGCCCTATAAGCCAACCAAATGGATCCAGGTCATAGCTTTTTTTTAAGGTAGCTGAAAATAATTTTTTTTAAGGATTTTCTTTTTCTTTTTTTTTTTGGTCGAAATAGATTTCTTCTTAAGGGTCCACGAAATGTTTACTTATCAACGTTAAAAATAGTCTTTATATCTAAGCGGAGTTCATTAACCCAATTAAAGGTCAACGACCAATTCAACATTCACATCCGTTGTTCTTATGTACCATCTTAGTGTTCTCTATCATATATATACAAGTATTTAATATTTAGGCGTGTTTGATATACTTAAATGGAAATTATTAATAAATAATTTAATATTGTAGCACTTTAGTCTATTACATTGTGGTTGAAAACCCGATAACTCATCCAACTTATTATTTTTCTGAAGTTGAAAATTGAAGTTTTGTTTTTTGTTTCAGTTTGAGTGGTCTATTCGCTTTCGTCACTAAAACTTATGTTAATTAAAATTGAACACTGAGGATAGAAAATTGGAAATGTCATTTTGTATAGTTAGAATGATGTATTTGATTGCAAGATGTACAAAACCGGGATTTATGAATGCCTAGTTTTCAAAACACGAGGTTATTTACTAGTTCAATCTGTAACACGATTTTAAGGTAGGGCCATTTTATTTTCTCCCTCCTATGACTCTGCATAAAAATTTTCTGAGAGAAACTACTAGGATCCTAGATTAATGAAAGCTTCTTTGAATTGGGATTTCAGATAAACGATAATGGAAAATAAATGGATTTGGGAATTTGTTACCAAGTCCACAGCTTAAGTTTGATAATATTGTGACAGGTTTCAGTTTGTTTATGACTGATCAGTTGAAAATCATGGATTTTTCCCCTTTCTTGAGCTCGTTTCTCGGAAATCTCTCAGTTTTTCCATTACCAATACTCGGGAATTGTTAAGATTTGGGGTTCCATCTTAAAAGATCAACCTTATTAAGAACTTGTTTAGCATGGCTTTTGAAAAGCCAAAAGGAGCTTTTGAGGTTCAAAAGCTGCTTTTGGACCTATTTGGCTAATTTTGTTAAAGTGCTTTTGATGGTTAGAAGAGCTTTTAGATGAAATCGGTTCAATGTGGCTTCCTCTAAAAACACTTCCGGAATAGAAAATGCTTTTAAATATTAGTTTTCAAACAAAAATTAAAATAGCTTCCTCCAAAAACTCTTCTACAAGAAGCAAAATTAAAAGCAAAAGCTATGCCAAACATGCCCTAAGAGGAGTAGCCCAAAATTTTATAAGTTGGATTATGACTCTGATATCGTGTTAAGATTTGAGGTTCCATCTTAATAGGTCAACCTTGTTAAGAAGAGTAGCCCAAAATTTTATAAGTTGGTCTATATTTTCATTTTTATTCAATGTGGGATTTTATCCTTAACAAGAATTAAAGATGTTTTCTTTTTCTTCTTAAATTGCATTTCTTTATGTTATAAATTTCAACAAGATTTTGAAGACCTGGCAATAAAAAACATCATTGTTACAGTGCAAAATGCCATGTCATCATTTCAAGATTTACCATTAGTTTTACCACTTTTTTCTACCATAACCATGCATTATCTGGGAAATGTAAAAGGGCAGATTTTGCTTGAGAATAGGGCCTTCTGGAGAGTCGTGGATAGAGGATCTTGTTGGAGTCGAACCTTGTTCTCTTCAATTGATGCTTCCAGAATTTGGCTTGTGACAAAATCGTGTTTTTGTGAAACATGACTTAATAAGTGATGACAATTTATAGGATGGCCAACACGTGGAGTATCTCTGGACGTTGGATTGAACCGGTTCATGTACCCTTTGTTAAAATGTGGAGCCTTCTGGAACGTCACATTACACCCATTCATCTTGCTTTTGTCTCTAGGGTTTTCAAAGAGAAAATATTGGCGATCTGAGAGATGATCATCTTCTTTGAGTGTTTCATGTGTAAAATCTCTGATTTTACGTATAGTATAGTGAGATCTTCCTTCGATTTGTTGTATTCTGTGTGAATAGTGAAGAAATTTGAGTGATTTCTCTGTTGTATCATTTTGGTAGTGTTCGAAGGTTTTGTGGGCTGAGATCTAAGTGAATCTCTGTAGATCCATCACTATACTTGAGAGATAAGTCTCATTTTCATCTCTCTGAACAATTTGTTGCCATTTTGGACTATTTAATGCAACCGAGCATAATCCAAATTTTTGGATGCTCAACGGGGGATGTAGGCGTTAGAAGTGGTCGTCCAACCTCCGGGGCTTAGGCCGAAATAATTCATTTGTGTTCTTTTAATTTTCTGCAACTTTATTTCTGTTTGATTATGGTTTTCTTGTTTCTTGAATTTAATATCTATAATCCTGCCATTACAGTGGTATCAGAGCCATGTTCTAAGGAACAAGATACCTGGATCTTAAAGAAACTGGTGGACCTGCAAGGGTCTTGAATTTTTGGAATTGCTAAAAAGGCGAATTGAGAACAACATGAGTTATTTAACTCGCTCGGTGATATCTTTTTCATTTTCTGTATATTAACTTCAGAAACTTGAGTTTCCTAAATTTTCCCTTGATTTTTCAGTGCACTGTTAAAACCCCCTTGACACTAATCTTTGTCCAGTGGCTCCTGCGAGGCCCCTGGAATTTGAGATAAATCAAGTACGAGTGTGCACTTGGAGAATCTTGCTGGAGAGAACTGTGAAAAGAAAATGTTTTGACTGAAAAAGATGTTCAAATTGAGGTGGAGCCCTCTTGCAGTAACCAGAATATTTCTGTAACTATTGCAGAAGAAAATGAAAATGAAGAACATGTTATTTTACCTAAAACTGAAGTTGAAACTGAACATGTTGAAGAGGCTGATTCTGCAGCTCTCCCTTTTGATGAGTATCAACTCACAAGAGATAGAGAGAGGAGGCAAATCAGACCCTCCACTAGATTTGATAGTGATACCTTCGTATCCTTATTTAACTACCAAGACCTTATTGAAAATGAGCCAAACTATTTTGAAGAAGCCATGAAATGCAAAGAAAGGAAAAATTGGAAGATGGCCATGGAAGATGAAATGTCTTCACTCCTTAAGAATAAAACATGGATATTAGTTGATAAGCCCAAAAGACAAAAATTAATTGATTGCAAGTAGATTTATAAGATAAACTCTGGAGAAGGTGATGATAAAAATGCTAGATATAAAGCTAGACTTGTGGCAAAGGGCTTGCACTTGTTACATAGTTTAAATGGGAACTTGATCAATTAGATGTTAAAACTGCTTTCTTGTATGGGGAATTAGATGAAATAATATACATGAGACAACCAATTGGTTTTGAGGAAGATGATCCTGAAAACATTGTTTGTTTGTTAACGAAATCCTTGTATGACCTAAAGCAAGCACCTAGGCAATGGTACAAAAGATTTGACACTTTTGTCTTGAAACTTGGATTTAAAAGAAGCTAATATGATACTTGCTTGTACTGCAAAGGTGGTGGAGTTAAAAACTCTTTATATCTGGTCTTCTATGTGGATGATATGTTGTTGGCTAGTTCTGATAAATAAAAAATTGATGATATTAAATCAAAGTTAAGTTTTGAGTTTGATATGAAAGACCTTGGTACTGCTAAAAAAATATTGGGCATGCAGATCTGGAAAAACAAGGATAAAGATATGTTGTTTTTAAATCAATGTGATTATGTGTCTAAAATTTTGAAAAATTTGAACATGTATGATTGTAAGCCTATGACACTGCCTCTTGCCAGTCATTTTAGATTGTCTTCTGAATTTTGTCCTAAATCTAAAGATGAATATGCCAGAATGTCAAAAATTCCATATCCTAATGTAATTGGTTCTGTGATGTATTTAATGATATGCACCAGACTTGATCTTGCATATAGTATTAGCATTTTAAGTAGATTTATGAGTAACCCTGGTGAAGAACATTGACATGCCTTAAAATGGTTATTGAGATATCTTAAGGGATCATTAAATTTAGGCTTAATGTTTAAATCGGATAAAAATAGAATAAGTTTGAAAGGGTATACTGATTCTAATTTTGTTGGCAATAGAGATAATAGAAAATTAACCTCATCTTATTTTTATACACTGTGTGGTACTGCTATCAGTTGGAAATCTCAACTTCAGAAAGTTGTGGCTTTGTCCTCATCTAAGGCAGAATATATAGCTGCAACTGATGTTGTTAAAGAAGGAATATGGCTGAATGGTTTATTGTCTGAAATGGGTTTTGATGATAACCACATTGTGCTGTTTTCTGATAATCAAAGTGCTATTCACCTAAGCAAAAATCCCATGTTTCATGATAGGTCAAAACATATTGATGTTAAATACCATTTTATAAGAGATAAAATTTCAAAAGGTGAAATTAAGATTGAAAAAATTTCTACCTAGTTTAATCCATCTGATACGGGAAAAAGACATAAGATCATGCTCCTGGCTGCACTAATACCTAAAATTCTGGCAGCAAGATGGAGATTGTTGGAGTTCTCTTCAATTGATGCTTCCAGAATTTGACTTGTGACAAAATCGTGTTTTTGTGAAACACGACTTAATAAGTGATGACAATTTATTGGATGGCCAACACGTGGACTATCTCTGGACGTTGGATTGAGCCGGTTCATCTACCATTTTTTAAAATGTGGAGCCTTCTGGAACGTCACATTACACCCCTTCATCTTACTTTCGCCTTTAGGGTTTTCAGAGAGAAAATATTGGCAATCTGAGAGATGATCATCTTCTTTGAGTATTTCATGTGTAAAATCTTTGATTTTACGTATATAGTGAGATCTTCCTTCGATTTGTTGTATTCTATGTGAATAGTGACGAAATCTAAGTGATTTCTCTGTTGTATCATTTTGGTGGTGTTCGAAGATTTTGTGGGCTGAGATCTGAGTGAATCTCTGTAGATCCATCACTATACTTGAGAGATAAGTCTCATTTTCATCTCTCTGAACAATCTGTAAATTTGTTGCCATTTTGGGCTGTTTAGTGCAACCGAGCATAATCCAAATCTTTGGATGCTCAACGGGGGATGTAGGCATTAGAAGTGGTCGCCGAACCTTTGGGGCTTAGGTCGAAATAATTCCTTTGTGTTCTTTTATTTTCTGCAACTTTATTTCTGTTCGATTAAGGTTTTCTTATTTCTTGAATTTAATATTGTGTGATCCTTCCTTTACAGATCTTTTTACTGCTTCTACGGTAGAGCTGCAATCAGAAAATGGCCGTGTACACAAATTTCTTCAGGAAAATGAATTGAATATTTTGGAGATTAAATGGAGAGTAGTACCTGATTAGAGCAAAATCTGGAAAGTTGAATTCTTAAGTTATTGGAAGCCAATTTTCACTTTGTGCCTCCAAATATCATTTGAAGAATATTTTAATATACATTTGGACAATTTAAGTAACAGCCTGAATATCAAGAATTGTGTTAAGCTGTTTTCCTTTCATGGATAAAAGAAAACGTGTTACTAAACTTAGTTCCTCTTCTGATGGACTTGAAGATATTGGCTTTTGTCTTGTCAAAAGCTCTACCATAACGACGCCAAAACTATAAACATCACTCTTTTTTGTGAATTGGTTTGACTGAAAGTACTCTGGATCTAGATACCCAAATGTCCCTTTGACCTTGGTGGTTGCATTTGATCTAATGCAATAGACCTCGAAATTCCAAAATCAGACACTTTAGCGCTATATTTTTCATCTAAAAGGATATTATTCGACTTGATGTCCCGCAAATAGGCAAGGGCATTTGCTACTTTGGCAGCAATTCTCAAACGCACATCCTATGAAAATGGAAAATTAGGACTTTCGTCATGTATGAGGTCAAAGAGGGTTCCATTGGAAATGAATTCATAAACTAGCAATGGAACTTCAGTCTCTAAATAGCATCCTAGTAGCTTCACAATATTTCTGTGATTTATTTGCGAAAGTATGACAACCTCATTTATAAATTCCTCTTGTTGATTTACATTGACTGACTGGGATTTCTTCACTGTGACTATTCTTCCATTTGATAGCATGCCTTTATAGACCGTACCTTGGCCTCCTTTACCTATTATTCAGCTTTCATTGAAGCGATTAGTCGCCTTCTCCAACTCCTTGGACCGGAAAAGTTTCATTCTCTCAAGGACATCTTCATTAGATGATATCTGTTGTTGTAACAAAAGACCTCCATTTCGCTAGAAAAATTTCTGTTTGCACTTATTTCTTTTCCTCTTCTTCAGTACTTTGTACAACATGAAGGAAACCCCCAATAGGAACAATAATACCAAGGCTATGCATAAACTTGTATGAAAAATCCATAGAATCTATCTTAAGATAGTTAATTGTACCATGATAGCCAATGTATCAAATGATCTCTGGTTGCAAAGGCAGATTTAGCTAGTTTTATTAAGAATTCATTAGCTATAAACCACAACCTAAACATGCACCAGTAGTTTACAGTCTTTTCCACCTATGTCAAAAATGATACTTTCTAAATTCTGCATCACTTATTGCATGAGAGATTCATTACCTGCATAACTATAGGAGTATGTTGAAGGTTGCACGAGAAAGCAACCAAGACCATCTTTTCTGCCATCACCGAGATATCCTTTCTGACATTCGCAACTGTAATTACCTGGAAGGCTATCGCAGGTTGAAAATTCATCACATGGATGATCCTTGCATTCATCAACATCTAGCAGAGGAAGTTTCATCAAATTAGCCCGATAATAGCCAAGCCAAAAACTGACGGTGTACGTATTTTTATTGAATAGGGAAAAATCCTTATTAACTAACCTGTGCAGCCCAGACTGAGATAAGGATTGCCCGCAGATCCTGATCCTATAGAGCATTTGCAGTTGAATCCCCCTATTCCAGTACCAGAATCAACACAAATGCTTTCTCCATAACATAGGTTAATGCTAATCGAATTCTGAGCTTCAGTGCAATTTTTGTCCCCAATTTCCCATTCAATCACCAATGGCACGTTATCTAATGAGATCGACGTATTATTGAGATGAGATATGCGGAATGTGTACCTATCCCGTTTTCCAAGAAATGCGTAGCCACATGGATTAAATGACCAGACATTATGATGATCATTCAAGCTTGTTAGGGAAATATGGAAATACTGTAAACCCTTTGTTATGGAGGCCTGGCAACAACCAATTCCAGAACAAACTCCTTCACTCAAATCCTGAATTTTCGAACATATACCGATTCAAGCACTTATGGCATCTTCCATATCTTCTAACAACGAATAGTCATCACATCCAATGACTGTGAGCTGGTTTTCAGTAGATAGGCTAAAAGAAGTGTTCATTAAACTGATAGACACCAAGTTATCGGTGGGTACGTTTCCATCTTTGTAGCATACTGATGCCAAGGAATTCTTGACCTATATTTTGTTGTCAAAAATAGCTGTGACCTCGAGATCAGTTATGCCAAGAAAGGCCTTGGGAGGGTCTGAAAATGTATCGTAGTTGATATTGAACGATGGATTGAGGGAACAACTAACATTTACGCCAATACCAAAAGGGTATGGAACAGTTAGATTCCCATACGTGCTTTGGCAGCCAGGTTTTGTAGTGGTGGTGGCAGTGGCGGTGTTACTATTGTCAGCAAGCAATAGTGGAAGCTGCAGCCAAAAGAAAATAAAGACATCAGTATGCAAAGCCAAGTTCATTTGCATAATCAGTGGCAAACTTTGCTTGCTTAGTCGTTTAATTAATGAATTAACTCTTGGTTTTTCTACCTTAAGAAGAACAGATTTGGTTTCTTGTTGAAATTGCCGACAAGGGGTAGAAGAAATTGGATTGAACGACAGCCGGCAGAGAGTTTATGAGGTTTAATATAATCGATAAAATCGAATTGTTTCCTTATCTCTTCGGGGAGTACAAATATAAAATTGTATTACGAGGATTAGATCAGATTTTTCAGTTAACTTGAACTTTTTTTTATCAGTAAAAGTGAAATTCCATCGATCAAAATTAATTTACAAATACACCGGGCATATTCGAAAAATCAGAAGGTAAGTAACCAATACATGTACACCGGACATACCCGGGAGTGTCAAATAAAAACAGATGCACCAACATCGGTCTAAAAATCGACTACAAAAGATTCAAATTGAATCAAAACATACGGATACAAGGTGAACATAACTTTGTATACGTGTGTTTTAATTTTTCTTACAATAGATTCAACTTACGGCTTAATACCTTCAAAAATACATCTGTTCCTTGCCATCCAAATGTAGTACACAGTTGTTGCAAGTGCAACACGTTTTGCTCTACTTGGCCAAGTATTACCACGAGCTTCCTTTTTCATCCATTTTAAAGAACTCAACAGGGTAGACGTGGTGCGTCGAATAGCCAACCAGTGTCAGATATGATCCCAAACATCTCTACAAAAAGGGCATGAAAGGAAGAGGTATTGGGCAGTTTCATCGAAGACTCCATGGAACGGATAGATTGGGTCCAAGTCAAGTCAAGATGCGTCAACCTATCTTTAGTTTTCAATTTTCCCCGAACAGCTAACCAAAGGATGAATGAATGTTTAGGAGTGATAGAACATTCCCAAACAGAGGTGGCCAGCCGGTTTTAACTTCTTTCGGTCCGAAGAAATCATAGGCAGCTTTGGTGCTGAAAATCTCAGAATTTGTCCCGCTACATAATCTGTTAATTCCAGCTTGTTCGTCGCTATGTGATTCAACAATACTGTCTCTTATTTCCAGCAACTTTTTAAGAAGTGGAGAATCATCTTTCTTCACTCTGTATTTCCAAATATCCAAACCTCGAAGGTGTACTTCATTTATCCATTTAATCCATAGAGATCCTTTTTGCTGTGAATGTTCTAAAGTGTTTTGGAAAGGAGAGCAGCATTTCAACTTTTCATAACTATGAAATCGAGCCCGCACTGATGCTTTGGAAGGAAAATTTGATTCCAAGCTACCAATAGTTTTTTAGATCCCCATAAGAACATTCGACGAAGACTAATGGTCTTAGAGATTACCGTTGCCGGAATGGGAAAAATTGATAAACAAAAACATTCAACTCCTTGTAGAACGGCTGGCACAAATTTCGCTCTACCCGCATATGATAATGAAGAAGTCAAGCATGTACCAATATAGGAAGAGATTTTATTGGTGAAAGAATCGTATAAACTAACTTTCAATTTTTTCGCCGCAAGTGGGATGCCCAAGTAACGACATGGCATGGTACCAATTGTGAGATGAGAAAAAGCAAGGATATCCTCCAATTCTTGACCATGAATCCCCGCAGTGTAAATACAAGATTTCCCAACATTTATATTGAGACCCGACATGGCACCAAAATTTGAAAGACATTTCATTAAGATATCCACCAACATTACATCCCCTCTAACAAAAAGCATCAAATCATCCGTAAAAGCTAAGTGTGTAATCTTAAAGTGTGCACATTTAGGATGAAAATTGAAATCGCTATCCTTTGTAGCCTCCTTTACCATTCTAAAGAAATATTCAAGGCATAAGATAAACAAGGATATAATGGGTCACCTTGGTGTAGAGCTTTCTTTCCTTTGAAAAAACCCTGAAGGACTCCATTAAGAGCAATGGAATAAGATGGAGTTGTCACACACTCCATAATCCAATCAACAAACATATTGGGGAAACCCAATTCCTCAAGGACTTTAGCAAGAAAATCCCAATTCACAGAGTCATAGACCTTCCTTAGGTCAATTTTAAGAAGACATCTAGGAGCCATCCTCTTGCGATTGTATTGCCTCAAAAGCTCTTGTGCCAAGTGAATATTTTCAATCATGCTCTGTCCTTCCACAACAACGGTTTGTGCTTGGTCAACAATGGAATCAAGCATAGGTTTCAAACGAGAAGCTAGGATCTTTGTAATGACTTTATAAAAGACATTACAACAATCAATGGGCCTATAATCCCCAACCGATGTAGAATGATTACCCTTTGGTACTAAAACAATGATGGTGTGATTGATTTGCTTGAGTAGAGACCTCGATGCAAAAATTTCTTCAATTTCCTCCATGAAATCATTGCCAACAATATCCCATGATTTTTTTGAAAAAACAAGATGTGTATCCATCCGGACTCGGTGATTTGCCGTCCCCAATACTAAAAAGAGCATCTTTGATCTATTGTCTCGTGATGTCCCGGACGAGTAACATAGCATTTTCCTTCGACAACATAGATCCACCTCTTAGAATTTCATCATTAAATTGCCGTCCAACAGTTTTTTGTCCCAACAATTCACTATAAAAGTGAGTGAATTCCGTTACCACCTCTTCTTGGGAGGTAGAGTAATTACCATCCCTCTTGATAATAGCTGGAATAAAGTCCCTTTTAGCATTTCTCTTGACCAAATAGTGGAAATACTTGGTGCATTTATCACTATTCTTCAAATGCATGCACTTTGCTTTTTTGGTAATAGAAACTCCTTTCCGCTTCACATAGCGTGGTAGCCTCCTTTCTCAATCTAACAACTTCACACTTCAATTGAAGATTTTGTTGATCAAATTCAATTCAACTTGTGCCAATTCCAACTTTTTTGAAGCAAAGTTGGCTCGAGAGGATATGTGAGCAAAATGCTTGTTGTTGAGCTTCTTAAGCATCCCTTTAAGACTTTGTAATTTCTTACAAAGAGAGAATTGTTTAGATCCCCAAAAGACTTTATTCCAACCATTTGATACCACTTCATGAAAATCCTCATGGCATGTCCACATGTTGAAAATTTTGAAGGGCCTTTTCTTCCTATCAACTCCCCCGAAAATTGAGACAATACAAGGTGAGTGATCGGAGAGGCACCCTGATGGAAGAAAGTTTGCAAAATCATCATAACTCTCAAGCATCCAGGTTTCATTTATCATGGCTCTATCAAGTTTGCTCCAAACGGAATTATTGTTCCAAGTATAGAAGCATCCAATCGACCGCAAATCCAAAAGTCCAACAATATGGCAATATTTATCCAAATCTTAATCTCATACGGTGCGACATTGGGACCATTACTTTTCTCATCAAAATTTAGCACATTATTGAAATCCCCTAAGACCAACCATGGTAAGGAGTAATTGAGACCGAGTTCCTCAATGTTATTCTATAAAGGCTTGCGAGCTACAATAGTATGGAATGCATAGACAAAACTAACAACGAAGGAATGTGAAGTTACCTTGCACGTGATTGAGCAATGGATGACTTGTGCCGTAGTCTCCAAAACTTCCAATTCAACCTTCATAGAACTCCACAAAACCAAAATATGGCCCGCTTTATGATGGTGAAAGTTGTTTGCACAGTTGAAACCACCAAATTTATTCCTCATAATTCGGCAAAGTTTCGAATCATTCAATTTTATTTCCAAAATACCCATAACATCAATCTCATGTCGTTTCATGAAACCTTTAACCCATTTTGTTTTAGGGGCAGGTTAAAGCCCCTAATATTCCATGCACCAATCTTCATGATGTTGAAGTAAAGGAGGTACCCTTCTTCTTTTCAGGTTTTTTCACCACATTCCTTACCTCATCAACTTTACCTTTAAGCTTTTCATTGCTTACATTTTCTGAAGCTGTCCCTGTGATTTTGAACATAGGATCAGCCACCACATAGTCCGTATGATTGCATGTGCTAGTCGGCGGTTGGGTGGGTTCAATAGAAATTGAATTCCTTTTATGGGTAGCCCCATTTCTTCTGTGAATTAACTTAACAAAGGGGGCGTCCGGGCTCGTCCTTAGTCTGCCTAATCTACCCGTCAATAGCCCCAGGTTGAGCTTGAGTGCAAATTTGGTTTAGAGGCTACCTATCCTGCCCATCGGAATCCTTTTCCTATTGATTTGTTGCTGCCTTTTTTAAATTCCTAGCTTGACCAATTTTCACCCGAGCAGCCTGTGAAGTGGGTTTAGATGTTTCCCTACTTATGGGCTTGCTATTGTCACTCATAGATTTTTCTTAAAATTGCAACCAATAGATGAATGCCCAAAGACTTTGCAAGAACCACAAAATTTAGGTTCGTGCTCAAAAATAATTTCTCACTCTCTCAAGATGCCATTTGGAAGTCTAATCTTTACCGCCCATACAAGCTCGATAAAAGCATCAACTTCAACTAGTGCTCTTGCATAGGAAAGTCTACCCCTACTTTTCATGACCTTATCGATCGAAATGGGTTTGCCAACTTTGGAGACAATTTTACCCAAAGCATTCGTATTCCAAAACTCCAAAGGCAATCCCGGCAAGTTGACCCAAACCGGCATAGTGCTAACATTTTTGTCATCAAAATCAAAATAATGGGGCATGACTTTTAAAATTAATGGTCTTCCATAAACCAAGTATGGACCACCATGCAACACACTTAGTCTATCCACATCCGTCTCAAATTTGAAAACCAACCACCCGCTTGAGTGCATAAAATATTTGTACTCGACCTTTTAAGACTCACACAATTGGAGTAAAGCCACTTTCCCCAAAAACATACCGGCAAAGTATCCAACAAGACCATACCCCCAAGTGTTCTCGATATTATCTTCATCTAATTCTCCCAAAACAACTTCCTCTAAATGATTTTCAAAAGGCTTCAACTTAAAAGTTTCCTCCATTTTCCTATTGTCTTTAAAGAGATCTACCCATGGAGCTTTAGTATCTTTTACAACCTCATTTCCAGTAACATTAGCATTATTTTGTTGCTTCAAATCTACCAAATTCAATTCAAAGTCAGAATTTTTAGATTCCCTATCATTTTCTCCAAGCGTCAATGATACACTTTGTGAAGGCAAACTCACCTTATTACTCTCTGCAACAAGGACTTTGAAGGGACAGCAATACCCTCGGAACCATCACCTTGCTGGACAGTCTGGGGCTTAAGAGGTGTCAACCCAGAGTAAAAGCTTGCAACAGATTTTTTGTTACCCATGAAAAAGCAAAAACCGTGGCCTGCTGGGAAGGAAACGGGCAGCAGAGAACGAAGATGAAATAAGAGCAGCCCAAAATTAACTGAGAACTGATATAAGACCCAACACAAATAGTCCCAACAAGAAGGCCCGGCCATGAAATAAAAAAGCCCAGGAGAAGATAGGGTAGTCCAAAGTCAGTTAATTGACCCGGCCCAAAACCAAATAATCAGCAAGAGGTCAAAGAAAACCAGGAATAGAAGATGCAAAATACTGCAAGAAGTCAGAAAGGTCAGAAGACACAACCAAGGTAACACCAAAACTGCAGAAGTCAACCACCAACCCCAGAAAACACGCCAGCTAATGCAGAAACTAGGAACCAAATTCAAAAATCAACTGACCAGCAGGAATACATACATAAGAAAAAACAAACTGCAACGAAGAACCAATAACACCCCCACAGAAACGGTAGCCAAGAAACGAACTGAAGAACAGAATCAAAAACCAGCACAAGCACAATACTGGCCTGAAACTGGAGGACCCGGTAGCCAATAAATAAACCAGAACCAAGGAGAGGAGAACAGTTTGCTACCCAAGAAAACCAAACCAGCTAAGAAAATTGAAGAGAAAGACAAGCTGGATGAAAAGGAAGCCTACGTAATCAATGTTGTAGACTGAAGCTGGAACTAGGAACCCAAACAAGCAGCAATGTCCAAGAACAAGAACCGTGAACAATAAAACTTATGACCAGAAAGTTACCACCAAAAACTTAGCTATGAGCAAAGCAAACTGAAATGAAGTATGTTAAATTCGATTTTCGCTAAGAAGTAAAAAATCAAACCCAACATAAAGAAAAGCTCAAGAAATCAAGGCACTCAATTGGGACTTTCTCTCACTAGAATTTGAGAGCATCTCTCTCTAACCTTATTTTTTTTTCGTAGCCCGAGAAAATTGAGAGAGTCATGGTAATTTGAATAGCCCATATGGAATTTTGTCAAATCTCATTATATGAACTACATTCAATCTTGCTAAGGCATTCTCTACTAGCTACGATCATTGTGCAGATTAAGTGGGAAAATATTAGCTTGGACGTACCCCACAACATTTAGACCCTTTTTTAAAGGGGATAGTCTGAAGTTGAATAAAGCCAAGCCTCCTATGGAAACTCTGTAAATTATAACAAGCCATTTACTCTTTGCATAGTCACAGCTAAGAAAAGGAGTAGTAGAGCTCTCAAAAAATAAAAATCAATGTTAAATATTGTTTTCTTTTCTAAATTCATATTAGTTTAGGAAGATGATATCTCGAAAATCATCTAGTTTTATGTAATTTCACAATTGCACTAAAGTTTGTAATATTCCTGTTTTAAAGTTAGAGGACAGGTTTTGTAGTGCCTCACGACATAAGTAAATTTTCCCGAACCTCGTAAATTCTTGGTTTCTCGTTTTTCTTATATTTTTTGGACTCGGTATTTTTCTTTCTTATTATTTTTCCATTAGCAATATTTGACATTTGTTTTTCCTAACAATTGGCATGGTACGATAATTTCATTATGTAGCAATGCGTGGTCTTAGGCATGCCAATTAGTTGAAAACTAGAAATTGGTTTGGAAGAAAAGTCGGAGAAGATACTAATGAACACAAAAATCAATCTCAATGCATTTGGAAAAACTCGTAATTTTTTATATCTGATAATCAGAAGTATCCGTTATATCTAGGAGAAAGATGTGGAGAGCACTAGAGGAAAATTTAATTGAAAGAGAATTGGAAATCGACTCAATTAGAAAATTAAACTCTTGAACTTCCAATATCAACTAGGTATCACTATTGACGTCCATATCACTTCTAATCAGTTAGCTGACTTGTTGAGTTTGAATGAAGTATTCTCGAAGATGAGGATAAAACATTGTTATTGTTGGGTTCTCTTCTAGATTTTTCCACCACTTCGATTTTTGTGAAAAAGTGAATCTTGAATTCTCATGCAGTACACTGTACAATACCGAGATCAAAAAGTTTACAAAGATGCAACAACAGATGTTTATGCAGTAAAGGGTCACTTTAAAAGTCAAAAACCAAGGAGAAGACGCAAATCTCATGGGAAAGGGAATTGAAAGAAAGATTGTCCCAAATCAGCCACATTGTGTAAACAAAATGCATAAATCAGCATGTGGGAGAAATTCTTATTTGATCCATCTCCGTCGCTGTTACTTTTATAGTTGGCCTTTTTCTTCCATTTAAGTCAAAACATATTT